AAACAGTGACCTCAGGGCAAAGGAATGAAATCTTATCACTACAGAAACTCACACTGGAATTCTTTGCTGGTGAATAAAAAATGCCAAGCACTGTTTGTATGACTGTGCCTGTCTAGAGTTTGTCAGAGACAGAGACAGAAAGAGAGAGAGAGAGAGAGAGGTCCTGTACTTATTATATAGTGTGGACCAAAAAAGTATTTCTTTGCTTCAGAGTGAGGACACTTTTGGAAAGCAGGGACATTTTGGTTGGTTTACACTTTCTGAAACAGCTTTTTGAGGGTTACGAGTTGGTTTTAGGGTTCAGGTTAGATGTTTAAGTTACAGTTAAGTGTTAGGATTAGGGTTAGGCATTAGTTGTGATGGTGAAGGGTTAGGGTAAAGGGCTAGGGAATGTCATTGGATGTCCTCACAAAGATATTACTTACATCATGAGGTCCAAAACCTGTTAACACACTCACACTGTGGGGACTAGCTTCTGGTGAAGCTGAATTTTAGGGTGGCAACATGGTTTAGGTGTTAGGAACTAGGGTTTTTTCTCGTTGACCCTGCCCTCTTCGTCCGACAACTAGTTGGTTTGGAGTAGAGGGCCAAAGGTAAGGCAGGGGCCCATGCAGGGTTAGGTGTTAGGAAAGTAGTGGTTATGGTTAAGGTTAGGATAAGTCTAAAGGAAATGAATGTAAGTCGGTGTAAAGTCCCCACAAGGAATGAAAACACAGTGTGTGTGTGTGTGTGTGTGTGTGTGTGTGTGTGTGTGTGTGTGTGTGTGTGTGTGTGCTCGCCTCTGTCTGTGTGTCTGTCTAATGCAAGATGTATGCCCATTTCAGTGGAGTGGATTCTTTCATGTGAAGAGCTTTTGAAATCTCATCTTCGTCTCCTCGTTATGACATCTATTCATCATTTCCAGCACTCAGTAACTCACAAATCACTCTTTTTCATCTTATTTGTTTTTGATTTTGCAGTGTCATTCCCCTGTCTCAATGTAGAAGAGTGTTTAAGTATTTACTGGAGGCCTCTAACCAGCAATCTAAACACTTTTCTCATTTTGTTGTTGTTTCTCTTATTTATGCACTGGTTCAGCTCCAGCAGATACACAGTATATGTTTATACGAATCCTCAGGCTGTGCTTGTCTCATTACTACAAACTTCGGTGTTTGACAGTACAGCTTAAACAGTGTTGCCACCTACATGTTTCTGATTGGTGTTCAGTTATTGTAGAAATATGGGACTGTTGAGCCTAAACCATGGTAAATATATAGGTTAATGTTGACAAAATCCTTAATGTGCAGCATTTACTGCAAACAGAATGGAGCGATGTAAACGGTATGAGCAGTAAATAATTAGCTAATTTTTTTTCTGTGACAGCTACAGTTTCATAGTTGCACATCTAAGGCATCTAGAACAAGTCAACCAGTGTATCTTCATTACACACCCAGTGAAGGTAAATGTAAGGTCAACACAGAAATGACTCTCCAGCTCTTTATGTTTGTCATTCAGGCTGTTCCCTAGTGAAGCATCAATCACATTAAGTGTTTGAACATCAATCTTTGCTTATTTTTGGGGCTGTGAAGCTTTTTGCTCGTTACTCACTCTGCTCCGTGACCCGCTCATTTCATAAAAATTTGATTCTGGAAAAAAAAGTTCGCAGATGACTGAGTCATGAAGCTTCATTGTTTCCATAAGTTCTCCAAACAGCACTTGCAGTATACTGATGTTTATCAGTGTCACTTAACTGGTTTCATTTTTATATCAGTGACTGCACTCATTAGGTATCTGCAACACAACAAAACCTTTACATTTTCACAACAGTCAATATAGTTGTGTAGTAAATAATCAAATTCATTCCTTTTAATTGTTTATGTGGTTCAAAGTTAAGTGATTTTCCTGTTCATATAGTTTTACTTTAAGTGGTTTAAGAGCTCAGGTTGATTACTCAGAAAAAGATATCACTTAACAGTTGCCAACTGCAGTGAATGTGTTCTGATAAAAATGGTCTCATTCATTTAAACTGAAGCAGATGTAAACATTTTGGGTTATGTGCCAATACGTCAAATTTCACTACCATAACCCGTTGAACTGCCGTTTATTAAAATTGCATCTACAGCTGCAGTGGCAGCTCCAAGATTGCAGAACAGCCTTCCACCAGACGTTCGGGCTGCCTTTCACTTGCTTCATAAAACTTATTTATTGGGGCAGGCGTTTAACACTGGCATCATCTATTATGTTATTGTGATTTCAGTGTGTTGATTTGCATTTTCTTTTGCGTTTGCATTGTATAGTGTTACTTGTTTGTTGCTCCTATTTTATTCTTTTGTTTTTATCCTGCTGTGAAACACTTTGTAACCTGGGTTTAGAAAGGTGCTACATACTGTAACTAAACTTTGTTTTTGCTCGTGCTTTGTTAAGACCTTTCTTTGATAAATAATATTAAATTCACAAGTCATTTAACAAATGTTGTCTAGAGATTTCTTGGTAATGCTTTTTAACAGAACTTTACACTGTAAGTTGGCAATAAAATACTTTTTTGGACTTTAGTTTTGTTTTCCAATACTGCACCCCATACTTAGCTAGTATTTACAAAAATAATTGGGTGTAATTCATTTCTTTTCTCCCCAAAATGGCCAAATGTTGCTCCCTTCTGACCAACTGTCTTGTATCTTCCACCATATCAGCAAGTTCCAGTAGGAACCATTAAGAATTTTGTAGGTACATGATTCTCCTAACAAACAACGGCAATAACATCACTATTGTAACAGATGACTGTTGTAGGGCTATATATTGAAGGAATAAAGATCATCATAAATTCCCATATTATAATTCCCACACACCAGTGTGGGTGTGTGTTTGTGTTTACAGCTGGTACTGTTATTGTTCGTATTTTTACCCAGGTTGACTGCTCTTCTTCCTTCAACCACTGAATAACTGATGACCATGTTGATCGATGAGTAATTACGTGCAACATTTGGCTGAAAGGAAAAAAGAAGGAAGGCAGTAGATGAACAGGGAAGAAATCCAAACAGTGTCCCCAGAGGGATGGAGAGATATGGAGGTGGGAACATTGGGATGCAGAATGGATGGATGGATGACTTGTTAAGAGGGCGGTAAGGTATTACTTAAAGTATCTCTCCACCCCCATCGGAAGTCAGAGGGACAGAGAGCCGACGGATTTTCCAGAGGGTGGGAAACCTGGAGGCTGGGATTACTGCTCATTTGGAGAAGGCACTTGGTGAAGCCAGAGATGTGGCAAGAGCTGTGACATCTGAACCTTGAATGTCTGTAGGCTTTTATTCATTTTATAAACAAATGCTCATGTGTCTCACACTTTAAAGGACCGTGCCATGAATTTTGCATGGACTAGCCCATTAACCCCCTAACATCTGGTTTTAGTAAGTTTTTTGTGTGCTGATGGGGCTTTAACACTGGAAAAATCATTATACTGAAGCAATATGATTTTAAAATGAATGAAATATTCAAACCCAAGATTAAATTATATTGTGGCTGCTTCATTCCTTAAAATGGAAATATCATGGATATCGCTTTATACAAATTTTCCCCAGTTTTCTTCACATTTCTCCAAATTTTATTCACACGTTTTGGTATCTTTTGATCCTTCTGGATCACCACTGATATTTAAAATAGTTGTGGTGACTTGAACAAAGTGACTGATTGATTAGTAAGGCCTGGCTGGAGAGTGACTAAAAATTGAGTCTATTTTTATTTAAGGACTTACATTTTTTGAATTCTAGCTTCTAGCTCACTTCAATGAATAGTTCAACATTTTAGTTCAAAATTTTTTTATCTTATTCACTGTCTTTCCAAGATTGAGATGAGAAGATTTATATCACTGTTACAATGGTGTATGTACTATGAAGCTAGAGCCCAGAGCTGATTAGCCTAGATTAGCTAATAGAAGCAGGAGGGAAACAGCTAGCCTAGCACTAACTAAGTTTGCTTGAAACACCTAAAATCTAACTTTTTTTATCTTTAACATAAGTCATGTAAAATGACAAGTTGTGGTTTTATGTGCTCTAACGTCTTGGCAAACAGGCGCAGGGGTTTCCTCACTTTTTTTCCATCCTTCTGTGTCCTTGCTAAGCTAAATTAATCGCATCCTGGCTCTATAGCTCAATACTTGGCATACAGACATAAAAGTGGCATCACTTGCTCCATTTTACTCTCTGCAAGAAAACAAAAAAAAACTGATTTCCCACAATTCCAAACTATTTCAGTAATAGAGTGTACATGAGTTGTGCTCTGAAATTTCTTCTTTTGTCACAAATTCAACAATAAACAGCACTGAGAGAGAGAGAGAGAGTGTGTCTGAATGTTAGTGAGTTATGTTTCAAGAGGATAAAGACAATAATAAATGTGATCTGTAGGCTATTTGCAGTGATACTTAACTGATCCCAAAAGCAAAATTCTGTTTTCACATGTATATCTCCTCAGTGAGGTCAAAGATCAGTAACTTAAAAAGTTAACAATCACACTGTTAATGTTTCTAAAAGCAAGTGTTTATGTTTCAAGAACAGAGATAGCGTGTGTTTGTGTGTAAAGTTACCCTGCATTGGGACAATTACTCAGCCTCTGGATGAATGAAGTCTCTAGATGAGTTTTTCTGTGAGTTTGTACAGGAGTGGAAGGGAAGAGCGAGTGTAGGGGACAGAGGGGAGGAGCAAAGGGACGTGGGCGAGCGATTCTCCAGATGAGATCTAATAGTATGTGAGACCATGCATCCTAAAGAGACATTTTCTCATGGGCCCACTCCATGAATACGAATTTGCCCCACCACCCACTCTCTACTGGAAGGACAGATGCACCTTGCTTCAACCCATAGTGAAGTACAGCCTGCTTTTTCCTTTTTTTTAAAAACTTCCATCCAATCACAAAACTCAACTGCAGTGACTTCATGGCATCTCTTATGAGTCATCCATTCATACCTTTTGTCTTGTAACTGAATCTGTTTGCTCTTATTCAGTGTCATGGAACCTAGTATTTATAATGACGGCGCGTGTGTCTGCGAGCATGTTGGCCAAAACTTAAAATGGTGCCAACGAAAAGCAGCAGGTGAGTTTGTTAAAAGAGGAAATGTGGACCAGGGCTTTCTGGACCAGGTTGTGTGTATGTTTGAGTGTTTTTGGTTTCATGCAAGTATTTGTGCTCATGTTTGTTTGTGCATGTGTGTGTGTGAGAGAGAGAGAGAGAGAGAGAAAGAGAGAGAGAGGGAGGGAGGAAAAAAGATAATAGCCTGTGAATGTACAGGGGTTGATCTTTGTGACATCACTATTTGGATGGATCACTGGCCAGGAAAGTGGATTTGAGTTAAACTCAGTTACCAACTGGACAAAATAAGCAAAAAAAAAAAAAAAGAAAAAGTGTGTGTGGATATGTGTGTGAGTGTACAAGAGAAAAAAGCAAAAGTGAAAGAGAGAGAGAGAGAGAAAGTAAAGGGGGAGGAGAAACATAAGCGAGGAACAAAGTAGAGAGGAGGGGAGAGAGAGACATAGTAAGGAGGTTTAGTAACAAGAGGGAGCTGTTGCCGGTGACACAGTACAGACAAACAGGCACAAGTCATTTTCCTCCTGCAGCTTCCATGCACAGCAGCGGTACCAGTGTGTTTTAAACTTTAACCAGGGCTAGAAGTGCAGGCAACAGACAAAGGGAGTTGCCTTGTAGCAGGGGTCAGGCAGGCAGGCAGGCAGAGGGGAAGCCGGTGGATGTTTTTATGAGTTTGCTTATCTGACACTGACAACAGGATGAGAAGCTGAGCAAGAGAGCAGAGAGGGGAGAAAAACATGGAGCGAGCAGCCTTACCTACAGTCCATTTACACAGGAGACATAGGCGAGATAGTCACTGGTTACCCTGAGAGAGGTAAAAAGAGAGGAGGAAGAAGAAGAGATAAATAAGTGAAACACCATAAATGTCCATTCTGTCCAAAGGAGCAGGAGCGAGAGCCGAGGGATCGTAACACTGGAGCTCAAGGATAAACCATGGACTCTGCATACATCCCACCACACCTGGACGTGAGTACCACATCCCTATGCCTGTCACGCACACACACATACACACGTCTGTCTGTCTGTCAAGCCACAGGCCACAGGAACTGTGCTGCTGAAGCCATTAGTCACTCTGGGGAAAATTGCACACACATACACATGCATGCACTGCTGGCACACTATGTTGCTCAATCAAAATTTTGTCATGTAAGCAACTTGTTCAAGAATAATGTGCCCATTATGAGTTCAAAGAGCATATTGTAACTCACCACCACTGTACATACACAGCCCTCACTGGCCCTCAGTGTTAACACTAGGCAGCTTTAATGTGAAAAGCAGAGGTGTGTTTTTGTTCTGTGTTTCACATTGGTTTAGCTGTCAGATGCACAATGAGGGTAGTTTCTGAGCGTTCAGTAATCATGGGTTAGATATGTCAGTATTTCCAATGATGCTTTTGCAGTGTTGTGCCTCTGCAGGGCCTCCTGTTAACCCCAGTGCACTCAGGGTTAACAGGACTAAAACCTGCAGACTTCCCAAACTGAAACAAAACAAGAGATGTTGAGAAAAATACAGAGTGAGGATGAACAAGACACGTTTTACATGAAGGCCCGGTGATGCTCAGCCGAAACTCACACAGATTCATTTCAGTTCAATTCAGTTGGTTCAGGTTTAGACCTGATAGTATTAA